AAAAACACAGGCAGCATACCCTGCTGGATCACACTGAACTGGTCAAATAGAATAACCTAAAGCTTTGCAACAATTGATCAACCAATCAATCATTATTGAGCCTGAATGTGCTAAGATTTTATATGCAGGGGTATAAAATCACCATTACTAACCCCTAGAAACATACATTATGGTTAAAGAGATCAGAGACAGATGTATAGATAGGTACAGGTGACCCTGTTCTGGTTGTCAAGATCAAAACTTGCTGCTCCCCAAATCCATGCATACTCTTTCATGTCTACCTGCCTTTACATGTTCTCTTCCCTCCATGTGGGATTCCCTGCTGTCTTGAACCAATTATCAATTCAATGCCTCTCCACTCCAAATTCACCCTTTTTGCCTTCTCTGTGAAAATGAATCTGGGCCCTTGAATGGATCTTTCCTTCGCCAGCTGCCACAATGTTAATCTGTGTGGGTAGAGGGTGCTAGAGAGACATTCAGGAGGCAAGGGGTTTGCTTTGCTGTCTCCTGTGCTTGCTCAGCAGGCTTCTTAGCAGGTTTCCCAGTCCCCAGCTTCTGCAGTACCTAATTGAGAAGCTGCCCTGGCATGCCTTCTCTTCAGACAATTTCATAGCCAAGTACTTCCTGTGAGACACCTTTCCTCATCATCCTGAGGAGGGGAGATTCTGGCAAGTTCCAGGTGGCAAGTTTCACTAGCGTGGCCTCATAGCATCTTCCCTGCCAATTATGAGTCACAATCAGGTCCCCTCTAAGAAGATCAGAATTCCAGACCCACACATTATGGCTGCTCCTTATACCTGATATTCTCATTTTCTTCAGCCCTCTCCTTACTTCTTACCAGATAATACCTTGTTACTAAAATCCCGATATAGGCAATAATTTATATAAAGTTATCCCTGTTCAGATTATAGCACAGTTTTGCTCTCCTGATTGAACCCAGATGATATACTTCCATGATGCTCCTGGCAACCTACTTGAGCAACATTGTTGTACTTTGCCTAGCAACAGGCTCAACAGATACATGTTGAATGCACCTGTAAGTTCATCTTGGCCTTGAATGGGGGTTGTTAAAGGTGTGGCACATAACACAATGTGAACTGATTTATATATTTTTCTATAATAGAGAGGAAAGATTTATACACTTTGAAATTTTCCTACCCTATCATTATTTTCTTAACATTCCCACTCCTATTGCATGCCTCCTGAAAACACCTCAAAGTACATATTTAACTTTCAACAAAAAGTAAATAAAGACTGTCAGATGGGATATTTTAGTTTTCCTAAACCTTTTGAGGCAACTAAAAACATCCATTTTTATAGTGAATACATGAATGAATGAATGAATGAATGGGTGGATGAATTCCACAACTGTTTGGAAATTATTTAGGAGCCAGGTTGGCAAGTGAGCCTCCACTTCTTAGCTTATTAATGATCAGAATCCTAGAAAGGCCAGGATTAGGAGACCCTGGATTTGGTGTCTTAGGGACAGAGGCTGGCCCCCTTGGAGTCCGTTGTCCAGACTGAGTCTTATCAACCCAAACAAGGCATTCTTAACCACGGCTGCCCCCCAACACAGCTCTAACCTGTCACTACACCTGAACTGTCAGAATTATAAGTTCAGAAATATTGTGAAACTTGGGGTCTCACACCCCCCTGTAATTGGCCTCATCTCATGGTACAAAGATGGGGACTGAACAACATTCCTCCAAAGATTTGAGTTGCTATGAAAACCTTAGCAAGAAAATATTTTTAAATTTTTTTAATATCAAACAAACATGTATTTAGTCTAACAGTTTCAAAACCCTGGTTTCCCCATACAGATGGATAATTCTAGTTACCTAAGAAAGTTTGAAAAAACTCTCAAAAAGATTCCAATGAACAGTCTTCTTTTTTTTTTCCCAACGAACAGTCTTCATTTACTTTATTTTAAAAATTAAAACCATGCTTTGTAACACTTCCAAAGAGTATGAAGTAGGAGCAGGAATGTTAAAAAAAGAGAAAGAAAAAAATAATGATAGGGTAGGAAAGTTTCAAAGTGTGGAAATACTTCATGCACATCATAGGAAAATGTATAAATCAATTCATGTTACCCTGGTACCTGAAACACCTTTAACAACCCCAAAACAAAAGCATAAAAATCATTATATGCATACACAGAGACCCACACACACATACACACATACACACACATAACTGTTTGCCTTGCTTCATCTTGCCCACATAGATTTTATATACATATAAATATTTGTATGTGTTCACAAATATACTCCTATCGTATTATTTATCACACTATTTTTTTACCTTTTTTGCTATTTTTTGTTTCTATATTCTTCCCTCAGTTTCTCCCATCTGCAGAATGTTGTATATAAAGATTGAAAAAGTTAACATTCATAAAGTTTTTGGCAGAGTGCCAAACCTAAATTAAGCAATATTTTAGAGTTAAAAAAATAAACTGAGCAGGAATAAATTTTAACTATGGAAGCAAAGGGCTTGCAAACTGAAAACTACAAAACATTGCTTAAAGAAATTAAAGATATAAATAAGTGGAAGACATTCTGTGTTCATGAATTGGAAGATTTAATATTGTTAAAATGTCAATACCATTCAAAGTAATCTATAGATACAATGCAATCCTTATCAAAATCTCAACAACCTTTTTTGCAGAAATAGAAAAAAAACACCCTAAATTGTATATGGAGTCTCAAGGGACCCTAAAGTTCTAAAACAATGTTGATAAGAAAAATAAAATTGGGGCTCTCCCCTTTCCTGATGTTAAAACTTGCTGCAAAACCACACTAATGGAAACAAAGTGGCACCAGCAGAAAAACAGAACAAGGGGGAGAGACTAAGGAGTCAAAAATAAACCTTGACATACATGGTCAAATTATCTTCAAGAAGGGTACTGAGTTCATTTGATGGTGAAAAGTTGGTTTGTTTGTTTGTCTGTTTTTCTTTCAATAAATGGTGCTGGGAAAACTGGATATTCACATGCAAAGTAGGATCCTTACCTTACACTGTTTACAAAAATCAACTCAGAATGGAGCAAAGATCCAAACATAAAAGCTAAAGCTATAAAACACTTTAGAAGAACACTCGGGGGAGCCAGGTGTGGTGGCCCACGCCTGTAATCTCAGTGGCTCAGGAAGGTGAGCCAGGAGGATAGTGAGTTCAAAGCCAGCCTCAGTAAAATCGAGGTGCTAAGCAACTCAGAGAGACCCTGTCTCTAAATAAATACAAAATAGAGATGGGGATGTGGCTCAGTGCCCCTGAGTTCCATCCCTGGTACCCCCAGCCCAAAGAAAGAATCACATAGGGGGAATGCTTCATGACATTGAAGTTGGCTATGATTTCTTTCTTGGATATAAAACTAAAAGCACAGGAAACAAAAGAAAAAAAAAACAGATTAATAGGATCTCATCAAAATTAAAAGATTGTGTGTATATAAGGACACTATCATAAGAATGAAACGGTAGTTTACGGAATGGGAAAAATATTTGCAGATAACATATCTGATAGGGAATTAATATCTACCATATATAAAGAACTCCTACAACTTAACAACAACAAAAAAAACCTATCTTAACATGAGGAAAGGTTAAAAGTACAGAGTTTCAGTTTGTGATGATGGAGATGGACAGAGGTGATGGTTGTGCAATAATGTACTCAATGCCATTGAATTGTAGACTTAAACATGGTCAAAACAGTAAGTTTTATGTTATGCATATTTTATCACAGTAAAATAAATCTGAAAAGTAATAAAAATAAATTAAAAACAGGAAATTGAGTATTTCTTATGTTCCAAGTGCTGCTCTAAATGCTTTTCATGTGTTCTTCGAGTTGATCCTCTCAGCAGTCCTATGAAACAAGTATTATTATCCCCATTCTACAGATGAGAAATGGAGGTCAGAGCTTTTAAGTGTTTTTCCTATGGAAGTGAGAAGAGTAAGCAGTAGAGTTGGGAGAGGGAACCCAAAGAGTCAGGCTCTTGAATCAACCTTAAGTCACTGCCAACACAAAAGAAAGGCCAGCTACCTCCCTGTCAAGAGGAGAAAGGTCTCTTTAAGCATTCTATGAGAAAAGGCCTGAGGGAACTTGTGTTCTCTAAAGACACCTGGCAATTACTTGACCCTTCATTCAGCTACAAATTCTTTGAAGTTTCTTTTAAAATAGAGTAACTAATGCTGTGGGTGAATCATTTACTAGAATACCTGTACAATCAGGGTTTGAGGAAAATTCTAGATTGAAAATTCCAAAATGTTAATGTTTTACCAATGTGTAGGCTGGTTTGCAATCTATTATTAAATAGTAATATCCTAGTCTTTAATCTATTAGTAAATCAAACTAATATATTATTAATTAATAGTATGCTGTGTTTCTCTCTCTCTCTCTCTCCCCCTCTCTCTCATCACAAAGGACCTGTAAAATATTTATTGAGCGTTTGTTCTAAGCTCTTTGCATGTATTATTTAATCCTGACACCATCTCCAATTTATTGCCAAGATATTGTCCAATGTTGAATAGCAAGTCCTTGGAGAGTTGTGAGTCACACCAGTTTCGTCCAGATCCTTCCTAAAAACTAACTTGCCCATGACCTTGGGAAATTCCCTTCCCCATCAGGTGGGCTCCTTTCTCCTCCTCTGTCAAATGAAGGAACTGGGCCAGATGTAGGAGGTTCATTCCAGCTTGAGCACCATCTAGTTCCTCCTCCTTGCACACAAAATGATCTTCCACCAGGGCTTCCCAGAGGGCATCCACCAACACCAAGCAGAGCAAGGCAGAAACCACAGTGATGACCTTGAGATGTTTCGCTGCTCTGCCCTCCTCACTCAGCCTCCACTCTTCACCACTCTTCACCGCACTAACCTATTAACCTCCAGTTACCTAGGAGTCTCAACCAACTTTACAAGGTCTCCTCCACCCTCAATGACCCAACAAGTAAAAGCCACAGATAAAAAGATTTGAGATCCAGGAGGAGAATAGCCTTCTTGATATTTTACTTACACTTTTCTCTTTCTTCCCCTGGAGTCACAGAACTTCTGGTTTATGAATTTCCTAACAGGCTTAGGCAGTGATGTACTGGTAAATATTTAACCATCAGGCCTGGGTGTGTGTGGGAATCTCGATTGGAAGCATTTTCTGAGTTCTATAGTTTATCTGTTCCCACCGTGGCTGATATCACCTACCAAAGCAAAGTCACTCATCAGGAGATTGGAAAGAGATTGGGAACCAGGAGGAGCTGGCACCAGGATACCATGGAATCTGGATCAGTGATCTTTAAGCCTTGCAGCCTGAAGTATTGTTAAATGCATTTATTCATTGATACAATGAACTTTCAAAAAAGTATACTTGGAATATGAACGTGTTCCTAAAAAATAGCTACTTTTTTCAAATAAAACCCCTATTGAGCTTATTACAAATTGTTATTTTTCCAAGATTTTCTCAGATGTTTCTTGGGACAGGACAGGTGAAATGATGACTTTCCTATTCTCAAATAAATGACTTATCCAAATCACATGCTATAACTACTTCTTCTGGGTCAACAAATTCTCAGAACATTCTAAGCATTGGGGAAAATGGCATCAGAGTAGCTTTGACTAATAAAAAACCCAAATCTGCTTATTGTTGAAGGTTTACAAAACCAATGCAAGAAAAAAAATCACCTCTGTAAAATGCTAACCTTGACATACACCTTCTATACTACTTTTTCTCTGCATTGTTATATTCAAGATACATGTGGAATGGAAAAAACATGGCCTCTTTGCTTGGATTCAAATCCAAGTTTCACCACTTATTTGGTATGTAATCTTGGGCAAATGACTTAACTTCTCTGTGTTTTGGTTTCTTCACTGTAAAATGGGATTTACGATAATAATAATAGCAGCTATTGAGAAGATTGAGCAAATATACATTCAATATCCAGAACAAGATACAAAATTCTATCTAAGTGTTATCAGTTATTATCATCCAACACAATCAAGGATTTTTTAAATATTTTCCAGACATCTTCCCAACAAGATCGTGTAGTCCTGACATCTTTTTTGCAGTTCCCCACAATGCCTTGCACATGGTATGACTTTAATAAATTCTTGCTAAGTAAGCAAATGAAGCCAAGAATTGATTAAACACAATTGATCAATGTGACTCCAAAACATCCAGTGCTACAAATAAACTATTCTGTCTGTCTTCAGGATCTTGAGCATACTTTAAGTCTCTACCAGTCCTTCTGAAGCTAAGGAAGACACTAATGAATATGGACATGGAGTAATTTGTCAAAGTTATCAACATACATTTATGTTCAGTAATGTTTACTTAATATAAACAAGAAAAAAATGAAAACAACAAAATAGTCTAAATGTTCATCGGCCAAGGAGAAGTTGAATAAAGTTGAATATCTCATGTAACCATGAGATATTTATGCTTTCTATAAGTATTTAATCACATGAAAAAAGCAGGCCCTACTTGTAGTAAGTAGGAAAAAGTGGCATATAAAGTTGTGTAAACAATATAACACCAATGTTTGTTTTTCAAAAACATGTTTGCATAAAAAGAAAAATTAAAAGAGACTTAACAAGAACTATACCAAAAAACTCATTAATAGCTTAACTCTGATGGGTGGGATTGAAGGTGATTTTTAAATTTTTTTTCTTCTTTATATACTTCTATGTTTTCTAGTTTTTCTAAAAAGGATAAAAAGAATAGAATTGCTATTAAGCAAAATAGATCTGACCTTGAAATTGGTGTCTCAGGAACAAAACTGTGTGTCCCTCTATGCATATAGATTCACAGTGTAACCACCTCTGTGGATCTGCTTCATCACCTATCCACACACCTGCCCAGTCTGAGATTCACAGCCAACAATCCCCATTCCATTCCCAAATTCCCAAAGTATCCCCAAACTGACCTTACAGCATAATCCATGTGTTGCAAATATGACACCAACATCATGCTACTTGGAAAGACCAATGATTGTCTTAATTTTTCACCCTTTTCAAATATCTGGCATTGGGCAAATATACAGCCAAGTTCATGTAGACATATCTCAGCTATTAAAAACCAAGCACATTTGTGTTATCTCCTGCTCTTGACGTGCCTGATACAAGGGAAGCGTGATTGAGAATCTTACCCATAAGGCTGAATAAATACATCTTTTGAAATAGGCCACAGGAAAACCCCCAATTGGATTTGGGTGATATATATTAAAATCAGCCAAATTTGGGTAAAGTCAATCTCAATTTAATGAAATGCAAATTCTATAATATTTGTTTTTAAGGAAAGTCATTTTATTACTTTCAAATCCACAGGGACTCAAGGTATAATATTGTGAGTCTAAGCCAAGGTAGAAAGTACATAATAGGCCCCTGCTTTTAGGAATAGGTAAGAATTGTTTATAAGAGCCTATTAATCAACTATGATTTTGTCCTTCTGATGTGTTTAAAGACAACTTATTTGAGATAATAAAAACAAAGCTAATTATTCCCTTAAGTAATACAATTTGCTCAGTCTTATTTTCATTCTAAATTTGCTTACATCAGCTCCACAAAACAATCTTGGGCCAAAGCCCACCTAGGTCATCATCAATGTCAAACAGCTGGCTAAATCAATAAGATTCTGTAGTACAGCTAAAAGATGGAGAAGGAGGACAAGGAAGAAGAACTGGAGGGGGAGGAGTTGGAGCTGGAGTTGAAGAAAGAGGTTGTTAACCAAATATAGCTAGAGAAATGCAGGTATTTCCATTCGATCTACCCTTGCTGAAGGACCAAGCAGAAGTTCTACTTTCATTCATGAAAAAGAATCTCATAAACCTTGGACACTTCACTGGATGGGATCAGCCCCGAGAGAAAAGAGACAGGACAGCGGGTTGGCAGTTCCAGAGACACTTTAGAGGAAGAAATTGCTAAAACTAAGGAATATTTTAGTATGGACAGAAATGTATTCTCTCAGGTGTTCAGTTGATAACTTCATGGAGGTCTGGGATTGTAGCTCAGTGGTAGAGCACTTGCCTAGCATGTGTGAGGCTCTGGGTTTGATCCCCAATACAGGGGGGAAAAAATTGTGGCAATAATATTTACCTAGCATTTGTTTAAACACCCAATTCTCAATCTCTGCTTTTTGTTCATTTTTCTCTTCATTCTTTTCTTTTAGGGGAAGGGGTACAGGGATTGAACTCAGAGGCACTCGGCCACTAAGCCATATCCCCAGCCCTATTTTGTATTTTATTTAGAGACAGGGTCTCACTGAGTTGCTTAATGCCTCGCCATTGCTGAAGCTGGCTTTGAACTCATGATCCTCATGCCTCAGCCTCCCGAGCTGGGATTACGGCATGCGCCACTCTTTATTCTTATTTTGATTGCCTTCCCCAATTAGAATGAAAGCTTCAGGAAGAAGTGGATTTTGTTTGGTTTTGTTTTATTTTTTGCTGTACAAAGTTAGAATGTGCCAGAACATTGGAGGTGGTACCAAAAAAATAAAAATAAAAATTGTTGACTGACTCAAGCTCCCTCATAATCAAGGAGGATGCGCCTTAGTGAAAGTCTATGGTAAAACAGAAAAGCACTGGATTCCGATTTCAAATTAAGTGGCACTTTGCTTGGTTCGTAGCAGACACTCCTTGCCCATTTTTAGTGTGGACAGCTGGGTGGAGGATCAACAAATATGATAGTGGTAATTCTTCTTATCTGTAAAATAGGCTAGTTGTTTGTTAACAACTAGCATTGACATTTGAGTGGTTCCGGAATTCTTCCTTTAGTAGATGTAGAAAAAAACTGGAACAAGGCAGTGAGAATCCTAGCAGTATAAAACAAAGAAAGAAATCATTTAAACTTTGGTGGAAATGAGAGGAGACAGGAATTGGGCAGAAGTGTATGTTTTTATTCTGTCTAGCAGTGCTGCCAAGTCAAGGCGTGTGAGCAAAGAGACAGGAGAGGGCTACAGCAGGTAACCCAGTGCTGGCTTGCAATGAGATGTCCATGAAAACCAGCTTTCAGTTTCACTCCAATGGCCTCCTTGAACAGAGAAACAGTCATCTGTCAGGTGAGGTAGCAAAAACTCTGCACAGTCACCCTGGTCTCTGCTGGCAGGATCTTGGTTCTGGTCCTTGAGACTCAAGGGCAAGTAGCTTGTTGGCTCGTCCTGCTACAAGAGATGGAGCCTTTGCTGCACAGGTGGCCTCTTCTTGGGCCTCACAGGCTAAGCTTTTGGACTTGCAAGGTAGGTAGCTTGGTGAAACCTGGATCCTTGAGAACACAACACCATCTTCTTTGAGCTGGGAGTTGGGGGCAGGCCAGGATACCTCTGACCAGGTTCACTTTGGGTCCAGATATCTTGGGGAGCTGATGCTCTTGAAAGTGTTTCTGACACTGGAAAGTAAATCTGAGTAGAAAGAGGTAACTAGAATTGGTGCAGGGGACTTTGGCTACCAGACATTCTTGGATGGCCAGTCCCTTTCCTGGTGGCTGTGTCCTAAGAAGATAGGTCAGCATGAAGAGCAGAAGGAAACCACAGGCCAGCATTGGGGTGGGACTTTGGCCCCTTCAATAGCAGCAGGCAGGTTTTGGAAGATGTTCCAGGACCCAGAGACACAGCTCCTCCTGAAGACATCAAAAATACCCGCTGGAAGGTAACTGGGGTCACCTGACTGAGAATCGAATTTTCTTCCTGTTGTTGCTGACTTGGTTGTGGGAATCTCAACCGAATGCTGTGGTATGCTTAAGAAAATTACCTTGTTTGGGGACCTTAGTCACCCTGGCATCAACTAAGTGATTCAAGAGGCAAATTCTTTTCCTACCAACAAGAGACCATCAGGCTTCCATGGGACAGCCACCATTTCTGTGAATGTGAATTGCTCTAAGTCTCTGTGGCTGCAGGGCCTAGACCGTGGGAGACTAGACGGTGGACAACCTTGAAAATCAAGCCTTTGTATCTGGAGCTGATAGAAAACACCAAGAGTGCCTTTCCCCCAGGCCATTATTAGCACAAACTCTCCTCTGGTAGGAGATGGTGTTCTTGCCTCTGTCTATAGGGATGGTAAGGCTGCACAGATGTCCTAAATACAGAAAGGAGCAGAGAACAGCCTGC